ACTATAAGCTTGCATTGACATAGAACAAAGTCTCATCCTTCATTTTTTTCATTTCGATAATCCGATTCACTCAGATGTATGTCACAAGACGGTAGAAATTATCTGTTGCATTGATTTTTTTTGCACCCTCAGATTCCAGATTTTCAAATAGTTGTATATCGGCCAAATATGTCAAAAATGTCCTATCATAACAAACCATACATCAATGGAAAGCTCATTTATTCAGCTTTCAGATGATGTATAAATCTCAATTTAAAAAAAATTACCCTTATGACTGGTTTTGTGGTCCAGGGTCACATATTACAATGTTAATATCGACCTAGGTTAATAAATGCTTTAAAATGTGTTTTTTTCTATTGTTAGTTTATATACCCATATTAACTAAAGATAATGAGTTGAAATTTATTGTAAAGTTCTGACCATGTTTCTCCTTTTTTTTTGTTCCCTCTCTTTGACCTGTCTCATCTGAATCCTGCACAACAACTCCCTCTTCTTCTTCTCCTGCTCTCCCTTGCTGCCTCCTTTTCCTTTCCCTCTCAATCATTTTTCTCTTCCTCCTCCACATCGTCGTCTTTTTATTATGAACCCCTTTATTTTTTATGTTTTGTTTTTTTGGTCTCGACCTCTTAATCTTCTTTTACTCTTTCTCTTGTTTTGATTGACAGTTGCTGTTATCTCCAGCACTGGTGCTTCTAGGACTGTGTCATTTGAAAGTGTTTTTAGACAGAAAAGAAAGCACATGTTCAACATTGTTAATCCTTGATGATTGACATGAATATCTTTTCCCAACAGTTAAGAGCGTGTATGTTTGCATAGCCTGAGATTTGTGTTTGAGTGTCTCCTGCTTGCTGCTTTGCTGGACGCTTTAGCGTGGATGGAGCTTAAGCCAAGATAACCTCTATGGATAACGTCTGACCTCTGTGTGCTACTACTGTGCAGACTGAAATATGGCTTGAGAAACAGGGAGCCACTTTTCCTTTTTTTCAGTACCCAGATACCGCTTATCATTTTCCTCCTGGTGAACTTTGACTGATGTTGAATGATGCTTTAGTTGCTGCTCCTTCCCCTTTTTTTCGTTCCGCTCCTCTCTCTGCATTCACATGATCCAGAACCATGGATAGCTGAGTGAAGTGTTTTTGATTCAGACCTCTGTTCATTATATGTTGTTTATATCTACACAGGTCAATTTTAAGATAAGACTCTTTTCATGACTTTCCTCAGTAACGTTAACAGATTTCCCACAAAAAATCTCAAAAAATGACCATAAGCGGTGATTCTATAAGGATCAGAATGCATGGATGTTAACTAGGCATTTTAAAAGTTGTGAGTTCGTAACCCCCTTGTTAATTGACTCAGGGTGGACAGGATGATTGGGGATCACAGTTGCTATTTTTCTATGAAGTTTCTCAACCCACTCTCTGATTTTTCCACAATTTCTATTAGCCATAGACCCAACAAATTTGCTCGTCAAAATGTTTTGCACCTCTTTCTTCGATCTCTTTTTACTCCTATTGAAAATGCTGCAACACAATGTTGATTTGAAGGAAATTAGGTATTGAAACACTTGACAGGGAATCAGTGATACATGTCAGAGACATATATAATTGAACAATTAAAATGGATAGTTCACCCAAAAATGAAGGTTACTTTATATGGTGAGCAGATTTATGTTTCTATTCACAAGTAAACATGATTAATGCACATACATGGAGAACATCAAATATGATAAAAAGAATCTCAAACGTGCTTGACATGTGAGAACCAAATAGAATGTTTCGCATCAAGCATGTACTGTTGATCTTCCATTTCCATTTGCTCTCTGTACGTGCATTGATCAAATATTTGTTATTTAAGCATCAAAGTTTTGGAGGAATTGACTTCAATAGAGGGACAAATAAATAAAAAATGAATGAAAATCTTATGGGTTAGGAAGAACATGACCGTAAGTATTTGATTACAGAATTTTCATTTTTGGGTGAACTAGGCCTTTAAACTATAGGAAAATTCTATTTTTTTGATGAGTACATCAGAGAAAACTGTTTGCAGATCATTTGAAGAGGCCAACAAAGATACTTGATTATCCTCTTGATTTCAGTTGTTTTATTTATTCTTTGCTGGCGTCTTTCTTTCAGAGCACTTGATGATGTTATGAATCTCTTATGCTCATATTTGCTCCCAGCAGACGTTTACTGCTGCTGTATCTGTATCGGATTTGCTCGTCGTTCACATTTACGACCGTGCACTTGAGCCCATTTGCTGCGGTTCAAATCACAACTCCCATTCCAACCCATTGTGACTCATCCTATGTTTAGTAGACTTTTAAAAGAACTTTACAGATCTTCTTTATGCACCAAGAGCTTGTAACACTCCAAAGAGGAAGGAAAAATTTAAATCGCATCATATGACCTCTTTAAGACATAACCTGAAGCTACTCTGCCAGATAACTGAGTAGGCCCTTCTGAATATAGGGCAGCCACGTATATGTTTTACTAAGTTTTACTTTGGCCTCTTTTTCTGGTTGTTTTAGGTGAGAGTTATTGTTATTGCTTTCTTTACTAGGCTGATCTCTCTTTTCTGTGCTGGTTATTATCAATGTTATCATTATTCAGGCTCAAGCTCAACTGACTTTGGCCTGCGTGAGCCTTTGGGGCTGATGGCCCAGTTCTAGAATGCACTAAACAACGTTGAGAGCCAGAGGGCAGCCAGAGGTGAGAGGAGAACTAACGAGAAACGGAGTGAGAGGAGAAGGCATGGTTGAACTGATAGTCACACTGATGCCACAAAGAGAACAAAACACATTAACTTTAGTGACTAGAGAACACAAAACTAATTGACTTTGAGGTTAAGAACGTTATCCTCTCATCTTAGTTTTCCTTCTTTTACATAGCAGCTCATTCACATTGACCTCATTAAGTCGTGATGAATAATTGTACTTCATCGGCTGGTTGTTCACAAGCCGTTGTAGGTGGCTACTAGGTTACTGGGGCATAGGTGATCATTACATAACAAGCTCCCCACCAGAGCATTTTTAGATTTATTGCAACAGTAAAGTGGCAAATCAAACCTTGTTTTTCCAGAACGCTGCCAGAAAGAGCAACAGGTCTAAGGGGAAAAAAGAATAACACGGCAGTCAATTCCCAACACCCCCAGGCTATTAACGAGAATAGCTATTCCTGCTGCGTTCCAAACAAACAAGTACGACGGTCGGAATAACTGTTATAAGCCCTCATCCAAACGGCCCAGAGCAGGGAGAGATAGTGTGGACGAGGGGTGACGCTGAAGCTGAGAGGGAACCGAGAGTAGCACATCAATGTGCAATGTCATGTTTTCTTTCTTCCCTCCCTTTCTCTCCATCATTCTTTCTTTTAGAAGAATGAGAGGAAGTGATAATCCAGCGCCCGCCCGCCCCCATGCCCCAGCTCCTCTCCAGCATGGCCCTCTGTTTGTTCAGAGAGGGGCCGATAACACTGTCGGGGGTCACGCGAGGTCAAAGAGAGAGACCGAGTGGAAGTTCATTGGGAGGTGAAGGCGGGGCGGAAAGGTGAAACCCAGGTCATGGACGAGTTTGACACACTAGCTCGCGCTATGTGGAATGCAAGTGCATTCAGATTACAAATGACAGCGGCAAAACCTGGCTTCTTTCTCTCTCTCTCTCGCTTCTCAGTCTTGCTCCCTTGGTGGGTCTGTGCAGACCATGCCAGCGGGAAGAAGAGAGAAGAAAGGAACAAACAAGATATGAATGCAAATCCAAAAAGCACTTATCTTACGCAGGTGCTTATCTGTCATCGAACAGGGTGTGTGCACATGGTTTGAAAAGCAGGTGGTTAAATTTGTTGTTTGTCAAGTTTGATTTCAGATGGACTTAATAATTGCTTTAGTCTGATATTGTACAAGTTTTTTTTTCTTTTTGTGAAGTCAGACTAAAGGTGACTTCACATTTATTATTATTCGGTCAAATTTGCTGTTGTTTTCGTAGGTGAGGCGAAATCCAGTCATTTCATCAGGAATACGATCAGGAATTTCACTTGAGAGCAAAAGATTTTCCCATACAGATCCTACAAAGCTCCTTGGTTTGAAAGTGACTTCATTCATTGATACACTATTGAAAACTGACCTTTTTTGCCCGCAAAATTTTGCTAATTTTGCAGTTTAGCAACCCACGGAATGTTGCTGATATTTTGCTTAGCAGACCTAGATAATGCAATTTTAGCTTGGCTTCATCTTGGAAATATAAACTTTAATCAAATTTTGATTGTCCTCAGCTTTGTGTGTTTATGCTGAAAGACAAAGACAATATGTGACGTATATTTAATCCTACAAATTTTCACTATATACTTGGAAAGACAGCTGAAGACTGTAGCTTTACTACACAAAAACCTGCTGTAGCTCAATTAAAATAATGAATTTAACATACTAACAGCCATGTCCTCATACACACATAGGCACATGTTTTTTCTGCGTCCTTTGTGCATCTTTGCGATTGAATACAGAGATTGTTGTATAGTCATTTGCCTTTTTTCTTTTTGCAAGTTTGATGACATGTTTGATTGTGTTTGTTTGCATTCCCAGCACTGAATCTGCGTCTAAATGTGTGTGTTTGTGCGAGTGGGTTTGTTTGGGAGGAAGGAATGTGCTCTGTTGTTTATTGAGCCAGTGCTGAGGGGTGCATTTTTGGCCAGGCTCCAGCAAGGTCAGTAGCTGGCCGGGTCAATCACGGGTCATTACCGGCCCATTATCGGGTCAGGTCCGGGTCAGAAAGAGCCCTGCATTCAGGGTGAAAGAGTGTAAATGGCTGTTCTCTCTTTAACCTCCCTCCATTCTCCTCTAATCCCCTGCTTTGTCATGTTGCTTTCCCCTGCGTCTCCTCTATAATCTCATTTAAGAGGCCCTGCTCACTTATGTAACATACTGATCTAACAAGGGCCAGCGATGGTGTTTAATGAACTTTAATGATCTCTCTTTGTCTTTTCTTCCCTGCACCGCTACCGTCCTGTGTTTAGTTACTGGATCTCTTCACTCAGTGGGACTGGTCCACGTATCTGGCTGACTACGGCCGACCCACCTGCAAGTACCTGCGAGTCAATCCTCACACGGCTCTGGCCCTCCTAGAGAAGTGAGTCTCACACTGGTCTCTCGCTCTTCTCCTCACTCATCAAACCACATGCACTTATGTTAAGACATCAGATCAGAGGCAAACCATTTTTTCTCTCATCTCTCATCTTATGTTACTCATGAGCAGGACTTCTCGGTCGTAAGTACTCTGCATTTGGTGTTTGTGATGAGAGTGCCCTTTACATGGGTGATTTTCATTGAGCCAGTGCTGAGGGGTGCATTTTTGGCCAGGCTCCAGCAAGGTCAGTAGCTGGCCGGGTCAATCACGGGTCATTACCGGCCCATTATCGGGTCAGGTCCGGGTCAGAAAGAGCCCTGCATTCAGGGTGAAAGAGTGTAAATGGCTGTTCTCTCTTTAACCTCCCTCCATTCTCCTCTAATCCCCTGCTTTGTCATGTTGCTTTCCCCTGCGTCTCCTCTATAATCTCATTTAAGAGGCCCTGCTCACTTATGTAACATACTGATCTAACAAGGGCCAGCGATGGTGTTTAATGAACTTTAATGATCTCTCTTTGTCTTTTCTTCCCTGCACCGCTACCGTCCTGTGTTTAGTTACTGGATCTCTTCACTCAGTGGGACTGGTCCACGTATCTGGCTGACTACGGCCGACCCACCTGCAAGTACCTGCGAGTCAATCCTCACACGGCTCTGGCCCTCCTAGAGAAGTGAGTCTCACACTGGTCTCTCGCTCTTCTCCTCACTCATCAAACCACATGCACTTATGTTAAGACATCAGATCAGAGGCAAACCATTTTTTCTCTCATCTCTCATCTTATGTTACTCATGAGCAGGACTTCTCGGTCGTAAGTACTCTGCATTTGGTGTTTGTGATGAGAGTGCCCTTTACATGGGTGATTTTCATTAAATGTCCAGGTAGTATTTCACCCTGAAAAAGAATTAAAAAAAACAATACTTTACATGTCAAAAATAGGGCTGTCAAATTGATTAATCGCCTCCAAAATAAAAGTTTTTACATAAAATATGTGTGTGTACTGTATATATTTATGTGTATATAAATACACATACATACTACATGTGTATATATATATATATATATATATATAAATATATATA